AAAAAAAAAAAAAAAAAGAAAAGAAAAAAGAAACACCAGGTAGAGAAAGTACTGACACAAAGATATATGACTAACCATAAAATTCTGCTTCTGTACAATGTTTGCTAACCTACCCAAATGCACCTGGGCTGCCTGCGTGCCAACCAGGATGCAGACCTGACCCCTTAAGCACTAGGGGCTGCTCTCAGAAACCCCATGTTGACACTGAGGCAGTCATTGGCTGGCTCTTCAATAAAGGTACTCTGCTGTGAATTCGGCTTGTTCGGCAGTGTGGTCTTCGTGGAATTCCTGGGCATAATAGTAGGAACCATTTGTTCATTCAACAAACATTTATTGAGTGCCTACAGCATGCCAAACTCTGTCCTAGGCCCTGGGGACACTACAGCAAACATGAAGGTGCAGACCCCTGCTCTCATGGAGCCCACACTCCAGTGGCTGAGATGTGGGTGGCAACAAAGCACCACATAAGACCTGTGGGTGTGGAGGAGCATTCGAGGAAGGGGGTGGGGTGGGGCAGTCTTGGGGAGGCTGCTTTAGAAGGAAGGGTGATTCAGGAAGGCCTCTTGGAGGAGGTGTCATGGGAGCAGGGCCCTGACTGATACAACCATGGAAAAAGCTTGGGAAGCACCGGGGAGGAAGGTACAGATGGAAGGTACAGCAAAGGCCAAGGCACTGAGCTGGGAAGGATCATCACATGTGTGAGGGACTGGACAGGGAGACGTGGACCAGGATGGGCTGAGAGGAAGGCCCAGATACCAGCTCCGTGCCTAGCGCATAGCAGGTGTTACCAGCACGCTCATCTTTAGGCCAGTGCCTGGTGTAGGGAAGGAAGATGGAGTGTAATTAAACTGCTTGAAGCTGCCCTCCCAGCTGGGGCTTTCTGGGGTTTCTCCAAGGCCCAGAAAGAGAGGATAGTCCAGGCCCCCTAGCCTTGCCTCACTCCCAGCTGGTGGCTGGTTTGGTGGGGTTGATGGCTGATGGTCACATATTTATTTAGGCATTAGCCATTCTCAGAAGGAAATAGCAAACTGCCCACTTGGCCGCTTGCAGCCTCTCACATCATAACCCAGGGGCCCTCAGACGTTTTGAGCAGCCTGGGGCCCCTCAGAAGGCATATGGGTCTGGAAAAGGGGAGGTAGGAAGAGCCCAACGGTGCCTAGGACACACACGAACACGAATACCCACAGGAACAGCCGGTCGACCACCATGGCCACGTACTTCCAGTCCTCAACGACCTGCAGGTAGACAAAGAGACTGGTCACAGGTGCTGAGCACTGGAGTCCTTCCTTCCCCCAAGTCAGGCCTCCACTATTTTGCTGGGGACCCCCAATCTGTGGGCTTGGAACCAAGTACAGAAGTGGCAAGATCTGAGTCCAAGGCTGGTCTCTCAGCTGGGCAACCCTGTGCCCTGCAGGGTGTCCTCCTCCTGGACCCCTGCCTGTCCCACACATCACATTGCAGGGCCACTGGGAACAGGGCTATATGGAAAAATTAGGAATGTAAGAGTTCATTAATACTTGGTTATATAATAGAGGGGGATGATGCCCGAGAATTGCAAGGCCCTTTCTTCTTGCCTTTATCCCAAACTCTCTGCCTAAGCTGGTTCTGCCTAAAGGAAGATTTGGGGCCCTACTAGCTCAGTGGGAGTGGGGCAAAGGGGGATTGCAGAACACCTGGAAATGATGCTGTTTAATTTGCTTTGTTCTATTTGCTGCAGTGTCTGTGTCCTGTAATTAAGAGCCAGTCTTCTCTTGCTGCATTATCTTGGTCTCTGTCTCTGAGTCTCTGTCTAGCATCTTCTCAGACCCAGCTGTGGAGTATGAGGTTGGCAGAGACCTGGCTGGCCTCCAGGGGCACCACCACACATGGGCCCACCTCCTTTGCACTGGGGGGATGCCCAGAGAGAGGCCCTTGGGCCCAGTATCCTGGCCTCCCTTCCCCTATGGCTGTTTCACACTCCTGGCCTGTGGTTCACACTGCATACATTCCCTAGTAGAGAGGGGCTGGATCAGACGGCTCTGAAGATCAGTAGAGGCTCTGGATCTGGAAATGTGGGTAGCAAAAGGCAAGCTGACGTCAGTGACCCAATTTATCAGGGCCCCGTCAATGGTATGTGTCTACCCTCCAGGATAATCCTGCCAAGCCAGCTCCTCACCCCCAACCATGCAGGACTGGACCTGTCCCTACATTCAGCAACACAGCACAGCTCCCCATGCAGAGCGCTCCTTGGCTTTCTTTTTGTCAGTCCTAATTTCAAATAGCCTTTCTGTGTGTGTGTGTGCGTGCCTGCACACTTCCCCCCCCTTGTATATTTTTGTGCTATTTATAGTGACCAGCTAATCACTAGGGTGGGTGAAAGTGCTGAAGATAAGAAATGGTATAGACTATCGTAGGGGACGCAGGCTCTGGAAGGGAAGAAAGCCTCTTTTCTCCAAGTAGACATGAGAAAGTCAATCACCCAATAAGTGTGCCAAGCATGCAGTGCAGGGCAAGGCACTGGGAAGGGCTAGATAGTTCAAGGACTTCAGACTTAGGTACAGGACCTGGCTCTGCCCTGTGTCTGCTGTGTAATGTGGGGCAAGTTAGTAAATCTCTCTGAGCTTCCCTTTCCCCATTGTAAAATGAAAGTTTAGTGAAAGCCACGTCACGGGGTTCCTAGCAAAGTTAGCAGTGATGTACATCAGCTCCTGCACCCGAAGTGACTGGAGCTTAATGAACACAGGTGGTTACTGTAACTGTGGGACCTGGCTCCTTTCCTCAAAAGGCTTGTAATTAATTGAGGTAGAAAGAGCAGGAGGCCCATGAGGGCCACGAGGGTACTGAGGTCAGTTAGAAGAGAGAGTTTAGGGTAGGTGCCAGCTTAGTTGGGGGTACAGGAGGCCAGTGCTTCTCAACCTAGAATGTGCACACATAACCCCAGGGATCTGGCTAAAGATGCTGCCTCCTGGATTTCCCCCTTAGAGATCCTGGCTCTGTCAGGATGGGCGGCCCCAAGCTGCAGTCTGGAAAGTTGCCTGAGTGGTTCTCATTTAACCAGAAGGGCCCCACGTTGCACGTTAATTTTTAGGAGCAAATGAATTAGGCCAGGGGTCCTCAAACTTTTTAAACAGGGGGCCAATTCACTGTCCCTCAGACTGTTGGAGGGCCGGACTGCAGGCCCCAGGACAAGCCGGCTGCCAAGCAGGACAGGCAGCGGCAGCAAAAACACCCAGTGGGCCAGATAAATGTCCTTGGCGGACCACATGTGGCCTGCAGGCCATAGTTTGAGGATGCCTGAATTAGGCAATGCTCAGCTACTGAATGGTTTTAAAGTAAAGAACAGCATGATCAAATTAGTTTTTCAGAAGATAAAATCTGAGTCCTATACAGTTGTGCTTCTCAAACTGGAACGAACCTAGGAATCTCCTGGGGCCCTGATTAAAATGTAGGTCCTGAGTTAGCAGGTCCAGGGTAGGGCCTGAGATTCTGCATTTATAACAAGCACCTGGGATGATGCAAGGATGAGGGTCCGAGAACTACATTTGGAAGAATATCTCGCATCCTATGTTCTACTTGTTGGCAATTCTCTTCATGCCTTTGCACAGTACAATTCTGGAGCTCTTCCAGCCTGCTCTTTGCTCTCTGCTAACTAATGGAATGCTGGCGCTTCCCTTGAGAATGTAGCTAGTGGAAAGATATCTCAGAAAGATAAGAGCAAGGAGATGTCCTCTTTTTTTCCAAGCAGCTGCAAAAGGGGAGATACCATATTATGTGGTGAAAACCTGTTCAAGAAGTCTGATGAGGTGTTGAAATGAGAACATTCACTAGAGTATGAAACTTGTTCTCATGGCTGTACAAAAATGGGTGTGAAAATTTCTGACATTGGCACATTTTGTGTTGTTATTATAAAATTGTCCTTGAAAGTGTTACTTGTTCAAAGGAGTCATTTGAGATACCCAAACTAGCATTCATTGCTTTGTCCTGGGAACTTAGCCTCTTTTAAAAAAAATCTGTAATTCTAGTCATCCCATTTGATAATGTATTCCCCTGGTAGCAATAATATTTTGATATTTCCATACTCCTGCAAGCATTTTTGGAGGTCTGAAGAGGATGGGGCAGATACATCCCCTACCCCCACCCTGTGCCCCAGCACATTAGGTTTCCCTGAAGGCTGCAGAATCATTTCCCAGCCCACTGATAGCTTCCCATTTCCTCTCTTCTCTGCCTCAAGGCTTTCTCCAGCACCAGGGATGCTTGCTCTGGCAAGCTGGCAGAACCCAGAAGTATAGGGGAGCAATGTTGGGGAGCTACCCTCAATCCATCGGGGATGGGAGCTGGTGAGTAAATACTCAGCCTCCCTCCAGGGAGGTGATTCAGAGACTTGATCCCAGAGGGTCTGCCAGAGGACTGAGCTTCCGGAGGCCACAGCAGTACCCTACTCATGGATACCTTACCCTGCCTGCATCCTCTCCCTGCCTCACTTGCCCTCCTTCCTCACTGATCCTCCAGGATCACCTTTCAAATAAACCCCCTGCAACCAAGTCTCCATCTCAGGATCTGCTTTTGAGGAACCCAAAACAAACAAAAAAAGATTACTGATACTTCCTTCCTCTCCTGATTTCTTATCCAGAGTTTGAGAGTCCTTGTTTCATGTGAATTTACTGTGGGAAGTGGGAAACCAGTGTTAACTGTCTGAGCCCTTTCTGTCAGGCCAGGTGGGCAGGGGCTGGGCTAGTGACTCACACTCTGGTCTTGATCGTCACTCTTCATGTGCTGAGCAATGAAGCTGATGCCTTCTAATGCTTCCTGCACATTCTGCCGGAACCTCCCAGAGGACCTGAGCCGGAAATCCCTGGGAACCCCAGCAGGGTCTGAGCTGGCTGGAGACTTGGGAGCCACAGGGGCAGAGTTCACAAAGTATGTGGAGTTCCCATAGAGGTTGGAAGGGCTGGCAGGGCCCATGGCAGAGGCGGCAGAGGCAGTGGCTTCCATCTTCATCAGGAATGACTGGTTGGGCTGGGGGGCCCTGGCCGGGCTGCTGTCAGGGCCAGGGCGCTTCATGAAGAGGAAGGTGGGCAGCTTGTGTAGAAAGCAGCGCTTGATCCAGGGTGCCATGGTGTGGGTGCTGGGTGAGCGGTGGTGCACGTTGAGCACACAGACACTGGTGACAATGGAGAAGGTGACCAGCACCATGGTGAACATGAGGTACTTGCCAATGAGTGGCACATCGAGGGAGGTGGGTGGCACGATCTTGGAGATGAGCAGCAGGAAGACGGTGAGTGCCAGCAGCACGGAGATGCACAGTGTCATCTTTTCACCACAGTCGGATGGCAGGTAGAAGACGAGGATGGCCAGGGAGGTGATGAGCACGCAGGGGACGATGAGGTTGATGGTGTAGAAGAGCGGCTTGCGTTTGATGATGAAGTCGTAAGTCACGTCCACATAGCTGGGGTCCTGCGGGTTCACTGTCCTTCGCCCGGGGAGGGCCACTATGTCCCACTCACCACTCGGGGTAAAGTCATCCATGCTGGCTGTGGGTGACATAAGGACCATGTCAATCTCTGTGTGGTCATAGGTCCAGGAGCGGAACTTGAGGGTGCAGTTCTGCTGGTCGAAGGGAAAGTGCTTCACCTCAATCTTGCAGGCGCTCTTGTAGATGGCAGGAGGCAGCCACTGGATGCTGCCATTGGAGTACACTATCACGTTCGTGTAGACGGACACCTCGTAGGTCCCATCAGCGCTGGGGTAGGGGTCAGGGATGGAAAACATCATGCAACCCAGAGACAAGACTTCAGGACTCACCAAAAAGCCCATTGGGATTATTTCCCACCCTTTCCATCTCCCATGCCTTCACCGAAAGGGGCCTGCTTTTCTCGGCAACTATGTGGTAGAGAGAGCCCTACTGTGGAGCACTCTGAAGGCTTCATACAGAATAGCTCTTTAAGCCTTACCACAGTCCAGTGAGGTAGGCTTTATTATTATCCCCATTTTACAGACAGGAAGGCAAAGGCCCAGAGTAGTTAAAAATGACTTCTTCAAGGTCAGAAAACTAGTAAGCAGTATAGCTGAGATTTGAACTTAGGTCTGTGTGTCCTTGGACCACACACTCTTAATCATTTCATGCTACTTTCTGCTGGTATAATTACGACCCAAGAAGAATCTCTTTAGCCACCTGCTAAGATATTTATGCATAGTAAGTGCACACTACAAAAACCAACATGGACCCAGCAACCGAGGCTCACAAAGACAGTGTGGAGGACAGAAAGGGCCCTGGGTGGAGGTGATACCCCATTTGTAACTGAGGACATTGGCTCTGCTCATTTCTCTTCCCCTTCCAGCTTGATGCCTTTAAGTCTGTGTGAAGCACAGATGGGGCCCAGGGTTGGACTCAGGCCTAGATGACCCCTAGGGGCTGGGCCTGCTTCCCTGGCCTGTCTGTCACCAGGCCTTGGCCCACCTTTGCCACTCACTTGTTGTAAAGCACGATGTCGGGCAACCAGATGCGTTTTGCAGGGATCCTCAGGATGTTCACACCTTCATAGCGAGAGCTGTTCCAGGCCAGGCGGTAGTCAGTCCATTCCTGAACAGACAGGAAAGGTCCTGTCATTTGTAGGTCCACTGCCACCAAAGGGCAGCCCTGGAGGGAACATCTTCTGGCCCTGCAGGGCACTTACCTGTTTCAGCCAGACATTGGTGGTCATGATCTGTTCTCGTTCATTCTGAGGAGGGAAACGGAGGTATCAGTTCACAGGGAAGGAGGACCCCTTGCATTATGGAACTTGCTTTATCATGCAAAAGGCTCTGAGCTCCAGGTCCATGTGATCAGCTGCCTTTCCAGCATCTCTTGGCTGCCTCCAAGGTATTTTACCCCCACCGTACCTGAGACAAAGCCCATCATCTTCTCCCACACCTCTTTTGGCACTGCTGTCTTGGTGCAATGCACTCCGAGCCACCAAGCTCCACAACTCAGAAACCGGGGAGCTGATCTGACACCCTGCTCTCTGACCCATCAGTAAAGTCCCGTAGCTTTTATCTCCTACATCATCTCAACTTCGTCTGCTTCTCTCCACCTCTCCAGCCACCATCACCTGCCACCTGGACGGCTACATTAGCACCCTAACTGCTCTTCCTGCTCTGCCCCGGCCTGCCTTTAGCCTGTTCCAGGAGAATCGTTTTGAAATCTCAGCCCCTTAGACTATGTTGCTCTGCCCAAACCTCTACCACTTCACCATCTCATCTAGAGTCAAAGTCAAAGTCCTGCCCAGGGTCTCCAGGCCCCAGTGATCCCCTGCCCATCCCTCCTCATTCGTTCTGTAACCTCACATCTCAGCGCTCTGCCGTGTGCTGCTCCCAAATCCTGCTATGCTCTTTGTTCCTGCCTTGGCACACACTGCTCCCTTTTCCTAGAAATCCACCCAGACGACTTCCTCCCTTTCTTCAGGTATCAGAAATGTCACCTGGTCAGAGACGTCTTCTTCAACATTCCTGCATAAACTAGCATCCCAGTTTCTTTCTCTTACCCTGACTGATTTTTCTTCATAGCACTTATCACCCTGGACCCTGTTTATCTATTTGTATGTTGTCTGCTACTTCACACTAGAATCTAAGGACTCTGAGGAAAGAAGGCACCAGAAGCATACCTGGGAGGTGTCAGATACTCAGTAAATACTTTTTGAATGAATACATTAGTCTTATAATAATCCAGGCTACCATCACGCATCTTTCACCCAGACCACTAAAGACCTCCACACTGATACATGTTCATTCTTTGTTTTTTTATTTTATGAGCATGAAACAAAGTTTATTGAAGAAGAGACAGACAGGCTTATACAGTAAGAAACATAAAGCAGAATACTTTTGCTATAGATCGTGAACAGGCCTCCATTGGGACATAGACTTCTACCCATGTAACTCACCTCCTTTGAAAATACAGACCATTCCATTATCCAGAAGGTTCATGTATGCCTTAGTCCCCCTCAACTCCCTTCACTCCTGGCAGTTGCATATCTGAGGACATTGGTATAGGACTCCTGCCTCCCCAAAAAGCTGCTTCAAAAGCCCACTGTCCTATTTCTCACTAAATCTCTGCCTACTCTCTAGAAATCTCGATTTACAAAACTTTTCTGGTCTTGTTTTAGAGATGACATCTCACAGTTGGGTGCCACTGACCATAGCTAGAAATTTCCATCTTTAAACTGGTTGCATCTATAACCCACCCTCCTCAAAAAACAAACCTTAAAGAATAAAAGAAACCCTCTCCACCAAAACCTAACATTAATATTTATTCTATACACAAGCTTCTGGAAATTTGACAGTTTACAGTTGTATTTTCAGGGGTGGCTGTGTCCCCTCCTCCTTCTGGTAGCCTCTATCACCCCTCCGGGCCCACAGAGCAGATCTGGCAGGGGCAGCAGAGCCTGGAAGCACAGCAGAGCTGCCTGCCTGTTCACCCTCACCAGGGGCGGCAGCTGCATGGCAGCAGCTGGGCTCAGGTCATTAAGCACGAAGCCTTCGGCTGGACAATAATGCTCAGACACCAGCCTGGGTGAGATCTGGCTGACAGCCCTTATTCCTTCCAGTCTGCCTGTGCCTATCTGCGGAGGGAGAGGGACAAAGAGTACAAAGCTCCAGTCCTCCACCGTCCTCCCCAGTCTTGGGCTGTGCTTCCTTGTAGGGAAGGGAGCCAGCCACTAATTTGGCCATAGCCTCTTTGAGAATTTGAGGAATAGATTTGTTGGGGCCACTTGTGCTGGAGAGAAAGGCTGGGGATTAAGAAGACCATCACCCGACCAAAGAAAGTTCAACCCTGTTGGTCATCTTCCTCCCCAGTCACTGGACACAGTGCCCTGAGACTCTCCCCTGTGAACAATGTCCCCAGAGCTGCTTCTAGGGACAGGGCTCAATGGCCTTGGTTCCCTCAGATGCCCTAAACTCAGAGACAGCAGAGGAGAGAAGGGAATTCCCTGGCACCTCAGTCTTCCTCAGCACTGCCCACCCCTGCCCCACAGCCACCTGAATGCTGCAATCCATTCCTCCTTTACCTTCCTACAGCAACCATCCTCACTCACCTGCCTCTGGTACTGCTCCTACACCTGGGCTTCTGTACCAGTCAATACTCCCTACCTGGTTCTTATTTCCCCCAGCAAATAGGAGCTATGCAGTCATCTGTTGAGCAGGCTGGGGAGACAGTATGGTGGGGCTGTGAGGATAAGGAGGAGCAGCTTAGAGTTGTGTTGGAGACCCAGCTAAGCAAAGTCTGTGGCAGTCCCACTGGCTGTCTACCCAGTGGTCATCTTGCTCTCACCCTCCTTTCTTCTTTGTTGACAAAAACCATGATTTCATTAAAGGCTGGATACCAAGACATTTGGGAGTCCTCCTCTGGCCTCCTTGCCATGTATTGGTAAGTCTAAGCCAATTACAGTAATTTCATTCCTCTGGCCAATCACTAGGTAAGACTTGGCATGAGCTATACCTCTGGCTAATGAGACATAAGGGGCTGCCTGAGAGGGCAAGTCTCTGGGAAAGTTTTCCTTATACTCAAAAAGGAACCCCCCAAAGGATTTGCCATTTCCTGCCATGTTGTCATGTGGAGATTTTGTGTTTGGAGCTGTGGCCACCATCTTGTGACCAGGAAGATAAAACAAGGGCAATGCCATCTGTGAATGAATTCACGAACCCTGCGATTGTTGGCTTGTTTGTTTGTTATATGTCATAATACATGTCCTAATATTTTAGCCACTCTTAGGTGGCTGTTCTATTACGTGAAGCCACAGCGTTTTAATTGATACTGAGATCACGTATTTGCAGGTGGCTGCAAACTGTGGAACTAGGATGCACAAAGTGAGTAGGACATCCCAGGAAACAAGAACAGCACGTGCAAAGGTACAGATAGTGTTTTTGGAATGAAAGATTCATAATTTAGAGGCAGGATCAGGACCTTCAAAGTTTAGGCAAATTTCTTAATTTGTGGATATGAAAAAAGATCAGATGAACAAACTGGGATCTTGCCCAGAAATCTGGGCAATGCCAGAAGTAAACTCAAGCTGCCCGACTCCCAGCTCTGCACACTGAATGGCCCCCAGGCCCTGGCAGGGGCACCGAAAACCCAGCCTGCTTCTCCGCCTAAGCCTCAGTCCCAGCGGCCCTCTGCACCTACCACGCTGATGAGCTGGGCCAGGGTGAGCTGCAGGTGGATGGAGATGAGCTGTGTGGAACTGGTGGCTGGGCGGATCAGGTTGTTGTAACGGGTTTTGTTCAGAAGGTCGTCCATCAGCTTCTCCTCAGCATTGGCCATGCGGCACTGCCCTGTGAAAACACACAGTCAGGCCTGCTGGGCCCTCTCCCAGGTGGTCCCCCCTGCAGCTGGTGGCAAAGAGGAGAGCTCAGAGGGTCAGAGAGCAGAGGGTTGCTGGGCTGAAGCAGTGAAGGTGCTGGCAGGCCTGCTTCTTCTTAGGGGTTCAAATTAAATAACTTCAAGACAGATCTCAGCTCTGCCCCTCAATGTCACCTTTTTCTCCTCCTGTTCCTTCTAGCAATGAATGGCATCCTACACTTTAAAATCTTCCTGACCCCTCTCTTGGTTCATTCAAGTGGCTACCCAGTCCTGTCTGTTTTGCTTCCCAAGTCCCTCAGTCTGTCCTCTCAGCTCCACTGCTACAACTGTGCCCACACTCACCACTCCTAGGCAATCAGGTAGCTTCCCTGCTGGTCTCCTGCCTCCTTTCTGGCCCTGTTGTCCGTGTACTATGCAATGTCAGAGTGGTCTTTTTGCAACAAACTGGACTAGGGCCCTTCCCTACCCTTCAAGGCCCTTTGCCCAGGCACTGGCTCATGTTTCTCCAGCTGATTTTCTCCCACCTGTCTCTATGCAGTCTCTCTACATGCAGGCTACTCATCCCTGACTCCTGCCTTTCCTATGTGGCCTTTACCATCTCACTTCTTGATCTTTGGACACTTCTGTCAGTACTTCCCCCAGCCCTCCAACCATCAGATATCTGAGTGTCTATCTTGTACCAGGCACTGTGCTATGTCCTTGGGATAATGGCAAGTAGAGTACTAGAAACAGTCCCTGCCACCAGACAGCTCACGGTGAGGGGGATTGGGAGGAGCACTGTTATCCACACGAGTGCTGTGTGCAGTATTGGGTATGAGGTGGTGCTTTCTGTAAGAGGAAACAGCACTGAAATGAGGGATTTTCTGGGCTCAAACAGACCTACAGAAAACCAGGTCCCTCTAAGACACCAAATGAGGGGATCCAGCTGGTAGTTGGCTCCTGGTCTGGAGCTTAAAGGAGAGGTTTTAGCTCAGAGCCATATTCAAGACCCAGCTGTAATACAGCTCCTGCCGCCAAGAACTGCCCCGCTTCACATCCTGGATCTCTTGCTGAGTGGTATTTGGGTCTTTGTCTCAGCTCACTCACATGTGTAGGAGTGAAGGTGAGGTTCAGGGACTTGAACTTGTATACTCTGCTGTCCTCACAGAGAATATTTTAGGTGTAAGTACAGGTGGCACCTCAGAAAGAAGGAGACTCAGAGGAGTCAAGGACACCTGAGCAGGAGAGCCCAGGAGCAGGAAAAATGATGAGAGTTGAGCAGAGGAAACACAGTTGGGGCAGGAGAGCAGGTGGGAGGATCAGGGAAGAAGGGAGGCTGAAGAGGTGGGGGTGGGATGCCAGCAGGGCTCAACAGGCTCAGGAGTGCCATTGCCTCTTTTGGCAAGAGTCATTTCAGGGAGTCTCACCAAGCCCCTCCCTCTTTGGGTGGGGCCGGAGGGCCTGGAACAGGGATACTGGACTGAGCAAGTCTGAGGTGGACTCTCCAGTGGGTGCTGGGCTGGACGTGCAGCCGTGGGGAGCTACGCCACCCTGCCTACGCCATGAACTTTCCAACTCGCTGCCTATCTGGAGCAGATGCAATATTTAGTGCCTTGTTAAAGATGCTCATAGTGCACCTGCTGCCTGCTGTCCCTCCCTCAGACTGCCCTGGGCTCTTCAGAGGGGGATCCTATGGATGCTTGGCCTAGATTCTGAGCCCTGCCTTGCATGCCCTGGACCCTTTTCCTGAGGCCAGCTGCTTGCATACCCTGGAAGCCAGACCATAGCCCTAGGCTATAATTGGGTCCCTCCCACAGCCCTTCTTTAATATGTCTATTGGGATCGACCCCTCATTTCAAAGAGAAGGGTATCTCTTGCTCAAGCCCATCTGGCAAGTCTGAGGTGGCTCCATGATCAGAATCACAGCTCCTAGCCCCCAACCCAACAATAATGGGAGAGGCTGGATCCCACATCTCTGAAGTCTCAGGAGGCCAGTCTTGGACCCCAAGAGTTCAGGGCTGCTCTGTAGTCTATGGGGGCAGGTATTCCAGCTCTGAGCCCACCTGATGTGTTCAGATTGCTCACCTTTGGGCCTGTCCTGCCTCTCAGGCATTCAGCTGACCTGAGGGACTCTCCCCCATGTTGAGGACCAGGGATGGGCTCCAGAGTTAGAGGTTCCCAGATCTTAGATCATTTGGCCCAACCCTCTGTTTCTCAACTGGGGAAACAACTGAAACCGATGAGGGGAAGTAACTTTCTCAAGGAGCCCAGTAAGTCAGGAGTAGAGCCAGGTTTAGGAGCCTGTTTCAGACAGAGGCCCTCCCTGACCTTCTTTAGGGCCTTGTTAACTCCCCCATAAGGATTCTGTCCCTGCAGAGGCCAAAACTGGTGTTGTCCAAAGCAAGTGTGTGCCTGTGACTACACTTGTGTTTATACTTGTGAGTGTGGGGTAGGGGTGGGGGTGAGAATGAACCACAGAGCTGCTGCATTGGGGATGCTCTCCCCTGCCCACATGAAGGGGGTGGGAGAAGCCCAGCTCAGCACAATGCTGAAGCTTATCCAATTTGCCGCTTAATGCCTACCAATTCTGCTGGGCTCAAAAGACAAGGGACTGGCCTTTCATCCCCAACTGACAGGGGCAGTTCAGAATGGGTAGAAGCTTCTGGGATATAGTTGAAGGGAGGGGTCACATCCCAGCCCATGGGCTGTCAGAGTTAAACAGAGAGGCTGCCACTAGGGGTCAGCTATGATCCAAGGATTCTGATGAGGCGTTGGCCCATCAGCCTCTGTCCAAGGTTTTGGCTTTAGAAGCGTTTCCTGGAAAAACTCCCCTACTAAAAGGGTTAATAATCTGAGAGGAAAGTATAGCTGGAATTCTAAACTGTGTAAATGTGTCTAATCTGAAAAAAAAAATTTAATCTAAAAAATCTATATTGAAGATATACCTATTATTTTGGAATACAGAAAATAATGGTTAACAGAATCTTAGTGGCAAGTGGGCATCGGGAAAGGCAGAGTGATTTTCAGCTGGGGCTGTTTCCTTAATGGAGGAAAGGAACACAGATTTGTGTTCATTAAAAGGAAGCTATGAACTTTTTTGAGAGTTGAGATTTTATCTTTTACAAAGAACGTAAAATAAAAGGTTAACATTTCTCCAGTCATGTGCACAACTCACCTGGATGCTTGCATAAATGCAGATTCCTAGGCTTCATTTCCAGATATTGATTCTGTGAGCCTGATGCAGGCTGCCCCAAGATCACACCTAAGAATCACTGCAAGTGGCACACACACACATCTGAGTCCCCATGTATACAGGCAGGGCATATCATCTCCATAGGGTGGATGGGGAAACTAAGGCTCAAAGTGGGCAAAAAACTGGCACAGGATTACCCAGCAAGTAGTAGCAGAGCCATGACACACATACTGTGTGTGGACACCATCTCTGATGAGAGCTCTACTTCCCTTAGGAACTTTGTATGCCTCTACTCCTACATCCTGCACCCTCTTTGGTGGGTTTCTGTCCAAGAAAGAAGCAATGCTGGTTCTCTAGAACACTGGGGCATGGAAGAAAAGCCTGGGTCAGAGCGTAAGAGCTGAAAGAGCCCTTGGAACTCCGGTGGGGAAACTGAGGCTGCAAGAAGGCAATCCTCTACACGTCTGAACTCTGCCTGAAGAAGGGCTGATTAGAGATCCCCCCTCCACTTCACCAGCCCAGCCCTCAGCCAGGCTGGCCATCCAGGCCAGCCAACCCTCCAGGGTTGGGTGACCAGTGGTGGTGGTGGCATAAAATGCATTTCCTGGGAGAGCTACTCCCAAAGTGCAAAACATCTCTGGGCTGATGATTTGGGCAAGCCCTTCTCCCGCTGGGCTAAGTTGCCCCATCTCTACAATACCTGTGTTGGAGGAGACTTCCCCCAGGCTGAACAGCAGACTCACTCCCAAGTGCTTACTTGGTCCAGGTTGCTGGCTGCTCTGTGCTCACTCTTTCAAGAAAGTCACACGGAGGGCGGGCGTGGTGGCTGACGCCTATAATTCTAGCACTCTGGGAGCCTGAGGGTGGATTGCCTGAGCTCAGGAGGTCGAGACCAGACTGAGCAAGAGCAAGACCCCCGTCTCTGAAAATAGCCAGGTGTGTGACAGGTGCCTTAGTCCTAGCTATTTGGGAGGCTGAGACAAGAGGATCACTTGAGTCCAAGAATTTGAGGTTCCTGTGAGCTATGACGTCATAGCACTCTACCAAGTTTGACAGAGTGAGACTCTGTCTCAAAAAAAAGAAGTTTCGACAAAGGAGCCTTGTCCCCTGTCTGTCAGGGTTTATCCCGGAGTCCGTGCACCCCTACCTACCCTTTCTTGCGCTGGGGATGACAGTGGCTGCCTGCAGAGCCAGTGTCCTACAGCCGGCTGCCCCAGCCAAAGACGCTCGCCACGGAGCGTGGCGCTGGTCCTCGCGGCGGCCCCCACTGCAAACCCGCAGACCCACCTTCCAGGCCCGCCCCCGCTGCCCTACCCGCGCTCCCGTCCGGCCGGGACAACCTCGGGCCCCTCGCCTGGGCGCAGGGTGCCCTCCCTTTCCTCCCACCTGTGGCCAGTCCAGCCCGGCCCAACCCAACCCACGCGCCCCTCCTTCGTCCCCGAACAGAACCCACCGCATCCGCAGAGGGCGACCAGGGAGAACAGGAGCAGGGAGTGTGCGCTCCTCATGGCGGGCGGGGGTGGGTGGCAGCCGTCACTGGAGAGTCGCGAGCAGGCACTGAGAAGTCGTCCTGGTCCCCCAAGGTCTGAGCGCTGGCGGCGGTCACTAGGACTCAGCGGAGAGCCCCGCCGAGCCCCGCCGAGCCCCGCGTGGGCAGCAGCTGTGAGCCCCGCCCACTGTTCCGATCAGACGAGTGTGGGTCGTCGGCAGGTGGCTGGGCTCGGTACTTCCCGACCTGTTCAGGCCTCCCAACCATCTTCCAAGGGAGTCGGCAGGACAGCGCCTGCGCCCTTTGTACAGCCGGGGAGACTGAGGCCTCGAGGCGGGCAGAGGCCAGGGCAGGATCCCTCTGCAGTTCAGGGAAGTGGATGTGCTCTGGTGGGGAATCTCGGGGCTTTGTTGTCACCATAAACGCAGGACTGGTGGAAGGGGGGAGGCTTTGGGAAAATGAATGATCTTAACCCCCATGGGGTTGGCTGAAAGAAAGGACACTGCCAGGACTGAGCCAATGGGAGGGGGCACTGCTATCTGCTCACATTTTCCAGGAAGGCACTTAGGAAAAGTGTGTGGAATTTGGGAAGGTGAAACAGCTCGGGGTCCCTTCACCCAGCCTGGGGACTGGGGAAGGGAGCAGAGTTAAGGGGAGGGATGGGCCAGAGGGGCTGGCTGTGCCTTCCTCTTTGGGCCTGCTAACCTGGGCTGACCAGTGACAGCTCCGGTAACTCAAGAGCGCAGGCACACCCTTCCCCCAGCCAGGTGGTTCTCCCCAAGTTTTGGAATCAGTACCATAGCTTTGGGGATTGGGAGATATCATAGGATAGTTGTCAGCGCCAGGGAACGTCCCCCCCCACCTGTCTCCTCTATTAGGGTTCCAAAAGGACCTCTGACAGCTTCCGGTAATCCATACACTCCTCCCTCTCATTCCAGCCCCACATCCTCCCCTGTGTGGGCCCCAACAGGCAAATCTAACAACTCAGGAACAAAGCAGGACCAGCAGGTTCTGGGGGAGTAATCACCTAAAAAAGGCAACTTTGCCACCTTCTCTCCAGGACTTTCAGTCTTGCTTTCCTATTGCTTCTTCCAATGTCTTTTTGCTATAATCTAACTTCTTCGCATATGGTCTTTAAAAAAGAAAAACACCCAGCAGCTTCCTCCCCCCTTAGGATGGTTTGGAGAAATTAGGCTTGAGAGCATCCTCTCTTCTCCAAACTGCAATAATAATAGGTGAGATGTACAAAGTGAATAAAAAGACATAGCCAGGCAGAAAAATGAGATCATCATCTCCATGAATCAAAACCAGAAAAGCAATGCAAAGCCTGGGGCCTGTTGGGCTTTGGAAGCTGAACAGTGGCAAATCCTTTGGGGCAAAAGACTCTTGGCTATAAACTGGTAGTTTGGGTGTACCCAATCCTTGAAAGGATGCAGGGGGCAGGAGCCTACTGCGGCTGTGTGGTCTGTAGCCTTGGCTTGATAGGATGTCTTAGCCCCCATATGCCACAGGATAGGTGCTTCAACATGCCATAAAACAGTGTTTTTTGGCCTTTTTTATCTCATGGCACTCTCGAACCTATAGTTAAACTTCCGCAGCACACTTAAATTATGTTGATCCAAAAAAAGAGTAAAGAAAGGAATATACTTAATGGTGCTTTGAACTTCCTTTGAAAATAATTTAATTAATGATCTTGAAAGTTTTCTGTGGCACACCCAAGGTCCTCTCATGGATCACTGTTGAAAATCACTGGACACCGGTTGAAAATCACTGCCTTAAAATCTGGAGGCAACTATAAAACTGTAAGAGCTAGGTAAGCAAAGATGAGAGAGTAGGAAGAAAAAGAGGGAGGGAGAAAATATAATATCTATGCAAAACAGCCTCCACTTGGGCCACAGAGTAAAGGAAGTGCTCTGAAAAATGACGGGAGGTGTCAAAGGGACACAGAAGCTGCCTTTTTTTTTTTTTTTTGAGACCGAGTCTCACTGTGTCACCCTCAGTAGAGTGTCATGGCGTCACAGCTCACAGCAACCTCAAACTCTTGGGCTTAAGTGAGTCTCTTGCCTCAGCCTCCCAAGTAGCTGGGACTACAGGCGCCCGTCACAACGCCCGGCTATTTTTTTGTTGCAGTTGTCATTGCTGTTTAGATGGCTGGGGCGGGTTAGAACCCAGCAGCCTGGGCGTATGTGGCCGACGCCCTAACCACTGAGCTATGGGAGCCACCACAGAAGCTACCTTAAAGGGACTTCACTGACCAAATCTGAGACAACTTGAACATGAAAAGAATAATAGTCATGAATTATAACTTATTAAATAAAATAGAACTATGAGCCCAAATTGAAGTAAATAGATGTTTGGATGTTTGTTGAGAAATGAGATACTTACATAGTTTCAAAGTACCTCCCCATAAAATACTTATGAGGGAGAAAGGGCTTACTTTATAGAGGAGAAGCCTTGTGGCAGATACAACCTGTGACAGATTGAATAATGCCCCCCAAAGATGTCCATGTCCTAATCCCAGAACTTGGGAAAGTTGCTTTACATAGTAAAAGGGATTTTGTAGGTGTGATTAAGTTAAAGATTTTTGGATGGGGAGATTATCCTAAGTTATATGGGTGAGCCCAATGTGGTCACAGGGGTCCTCATCAGAGGGAGCAAGAGGTCAGAGAAGGAGAATGAATGAATGTGAAGATGGAAGGAGAGATTGGAGCGATACAGCTAAAATTTTTTTTTCTTCTTTAAAGACCAGGTACCTTCTAGAAGCTGGACGAGACAAGGAATGAATTATTTTCTAGAACCTCCAAAGAAACAGCCTTGCCGATGCCTTGATTTTAGCCCCGTAAAGACCAATTTTAGATTTTAACTCCAGACTGTAAAATAAAATATATATACATATATTTAAATTGTTTTAAGATACTATGTTTGCAGTGATTTGCCATAGCAGTAATACATAGTAAGAAACCAGCACACCACCTTAATCAAGTGGTCGAAATTAACCTTACGAGACATGGAGCAAATTAAAATTGTGTATGGCCTGATAGGATATAATAAGAACACAGAATCACTTTGGTGATAGTCCTGCCAAAGATGTATCACTGAAGTCTAGTCTTGAGGATGCCTCAGTCAAACCCAGATAAAGAGATATTTCACAACCTACTATCGTAGCTCACAACTGTAATCCCCGAATTTTGGGAGGCTTAGGTGGGAGTATCACTTGAGCCCAGGAGTTGGAGGTTTCAGACACCACTGCACTCTAATCTGGGGCAACAGATTTAGATCTTGCTTAAAAAAAAAAAAAAAAAGAAAGAAAGAAAGAAAAGAGAAAGAAAGAAAGAAACTGAGCCTACAATACCAAGATTTAAAAACATGAAGCAACCATGCTAAGGAAGTTAGCCAGAATAATAATCAGTGAATTCACTCCAAATGAAATAAGTTTCTTTGTTTTTTTTCTTTTTAGAGTCTCACTTTGTCACCCTCGGTAGAGTTCTGTGGCGTCACAGCTCACAGCAACCTCCAGCTCTTGGGCTTACGTGATTCTCTTGCCTCAGCCTCCCAAGCAGCTGGGACTACAGGTGCCCACCACAATGTCCGGCTATTTTTTGTTGCAGTTTGGCTGGGGCTGGGTTTGAACCCACCACCCTCGGTATGTGGGGTGGCACCCTACTCACTGAGCCACAGGCGCTGCCCATGAAATAAGTTTTTATAGAATTTTGACAAATACTTCTTAAAATAAAAGAAAAAGAGGAAAAGTGATCCAATTATTTTTTAAGGATAGTATAATCTTGGTGCCAAACTGAAACAAGGACATATGAAAAAAAGTGTGCTATATATAGACCAATGTGAATTGATGGGTTTGTCGTCCAGGATAGCATGGAGTAGTGGTTACTAAGTGGCCTCTTGAGTCTGGCAATCTAGATTTATATTCAGGGGTGGCTACTCGTTTTCCCTGTGACTTTAGGAAAGTAATTTGATTTCTGTGACTTAATTCCCTCATATATAAAGGGAAAACAATAACCTTTACAATAAACCTTCTAGGATAAAATGAAATAATTCACGCAAAGTGTCTTAAGTATGTCCAGACCACAGAAAACCTATGTGTTAGTTATTATTAGTTATTATGAACATAGATTCCAAAATTCTAAATAAAGTAATTTCAAATCAAATATAGCAATGTACACACACACACAAAATGCAACATGACAAAGTAGGTTTTATTCCCAAAATACATATATCTGTGAGCGAACATCAGATAATTTGCTAATGCAATATGCTACCTTGACAAATTTAATACTCATTCAATGCAAACTATTAGCAAACTAGCTTCCTTTAGTGATAGCAATTATTATACTTCAGGACTTAGTCCAGGATACCTTCTATCACTGTTTCATCTAATACAGCACTGAGGTCCTAAGCCAGTGGTTCTCAACCTTCCTAATGCTGTGGCCCTTTCATACAGTTCCTCATGTTGTGGTAACCCCCAACCATAAAATTATTTTCGTTGCTAATTCATAACCGTAATTTTGCTACTGTTATGAATCGTAATGTAAATACCTGATGTGCGGGATGGTCTTAGGCCACCCCTGTGAAAGGGTCATTTGACCCCCAAAGGGGTCATGACCCACAAATTGAAAACCGCTGTCCTAAGCAACGTGCTAGGTTAAACCATATGAAATTGCCTTTTTTTTTTAGGTCACAAATTGCTCAACATCAGAAATTTATCTGATTCGATCTATAATATAAAGAAATAAGGCTGGGTATGGTGGCTCATTCCCGTAATCCCTGCACTTTGGGAAGCTAAGGTGGGAGGATTGTTTGAGGTCAGGAATTTGAGACCAACTTGAACAACATAAGAAGACCCCCGTCTCTACAAAAAAATAGAAAACTTAATTGAGTATGATGGTGCCTAGCTCAGCTACTCAGGTTACTAAAGCAGGACGATTGCTTGAGCCCAGGAATTTGAAGGTGCTGTGAGTTATGATTATACCATTGCAGTCTAGCAAGGGCAAGAAAGCAAGACCTCATTGAAAATAAAAGAAGAGG